ACACACACACACACACACACACACACACACACACACACAAACAATGAACAAAAAATAGACAGGCTTTTAAATTCAGTCTTCAAACATTTGTTATTCCAAACACACTTATTCTATGCCAACATTGTACAGCCAATCCTCAAATGAAATAAAGCAGTAGATTTCCCATTCTAAGTCAAGAAAGATGGTCTAATCTGAAAGCCTATATGTCAAGCTTTAGGCTGAGTAAAATGTTAGTTTGGGGATATTTTGTGAGGTTTAAGGTACAATAAATGGAAGTTTACTAATGTAAACAATTTGCCAAGATTTTTGTCTTTGTTTCTTACTGGGAGGGAAATAAACTAATGCTATATTTCTAGGGGGAAAAGGTTTGATTTCAGCCAAACAAGTTTTAAAACCAATGCCAACTTACTGTTCAACCTCAAAGTAAAGAAGACATTGGCATTTTAAATCTTATTTAATGGGGTTGTTACCAAAGACTTTCTTGCTTCACTGTTTAGAAAGTAGCTATTAGGTTTGTCCTAATAATATAAGAGTGTTTTATTTAAAGAGGCAAAACTTCATTTTTTACACCCACTCACCATCAGTAAAGGGTCTGCTGGTTATTTAAATAATGGTATATTTTGGGTAGATTTTTGGTAATGGAATATTTGTTTATGTTGCATACAGCCAAACCAGATTGATTCTGGAAAAGAGTTGTTTCCCAAACCTATCTGAGTATTTGGAATTGTGGGTGTTTTGTGGTGTGTGTGTTTGTGCTGTAATTCAAGGAATATATTTGTCACTAAATTGCAGAAGTGTTATTAGTTTAAGATGCCAGGTATTTCACAATTTCTTTTTTTAAAGCTTTCTTTCTGCGATAGTCTGTACATTTACATGACGTGATAAATTATATCTTCATGGTAGAATGGCGTTTCCTAGGAGTCCTGAGTTCTCCTGGAGTCCCTGGGAATCTAGGAGATACTGGAGTGTAGTGGTGGAAGGGTACTGTGCCCGGCCGCAGGTCGAAGCTGAGGCTGCCCTTACCTTACTCTTAGGTATGTTGCTCTCTTGACTGCCCCTTCCCAGAGCCCTGTCCCAGCCCATCCTCTGTCTGGCATATGACCCTTCTCTGGCTCACAGGTGGCAGCGTTACTTTGTCCTCAGTCATCACTGAGTGGTTGTTAGAAGTGCTCGCTCTGCTCTGTCCCATTTGTACCTCAGTGGCAGTGCTCTCCCACCTGGGAGAGTCCTGCCACCTGGAATGGTACCACCCTATGTAAGCCCTAATCACATCAGTCTCTGGGTGCCTCCATCACCTTCCCTAGAGACATCCAACTGCCGTTTATCCTACACACATAAAATAGAACCTTAGAACATGAAAAGTACATCACAGATACATATCAAGGTCATGAAGTGTGCATAAATTCAGACCTATGTTCTACTGTGAGCAACAAATCTCGACAAGTACTAATGCAAGATGAAGCTCAACGAATGTACAAGATCTTATCTCATCCTCACTGCAACTTATCTAAAGAAGTTGCTTTAGACCTATTTTACAGATGAGAAAACTGAGAGCCAGGAGCCTTGCTATGACACATGTGGTAAGGAGTAAAAATGAGGACGAAGCTAGGCTTTCTCGGGGGCCTTCCTTTCTTTCTGTCCTCGCTTCCCAATTTCACACACTCGTCTAACTCTTTTCTGGTTGATTCCCAATCTTTGATGGTGCATTTTACAGTCACACTTTTACAGATGGCATCAGTCTGATCAAAGGAAGCCTGCCTAGAACTAAGGTGCAGTTTGAAACCAGGTCATTTCTTCAAGCAGCAAGCACTATCACGTGCTCTCCAACACTGATACTATCACCGTGGGGAGCTGGGGTGGGGTAGGGTGTCGTTTAATAAAGCAGGTTAACTTGTCTATAGCTAAAGAGGCAAACAAGCTATCAGGCTATCCATATGAGTTCTCCCAAGAGACATTCTTGGAAACTGAAAGAACATAATTTGGAAGGGCAACAAGATCAGGAATGTCTAATTTGAAAGGGTTCTGTGAATGCTAAACAAAACAGGGGGCTATTATAAAGAAAGCCAGGCTTCCCTTACATCCTGAACCATGGACATCCTGGGCAGCAAGATCCACAGGCATTTTCAAACTTTGTGGTTGGGGAGTATGCATGCAGGTGCACAAAATCACATCATAGACTCCCACGGAGCTGATTGTTCCAGGCTGTTCAAACTGGCAGCTCACACCCTAAGTCTATGTCTACAGCTTACATCTGATTTATAGTGACCTCTGACCTCTGTCAGCGTAGGGACAGGAGAGTGGTTTAGTATATGAGCAGCTGAAAACCCGAGTGTGGAGTAGTCCCACGGAATTTTTTAAACGAAGATTATAAAGCTCAGAGAGGTTTTATAGTTGTGAATTTATATAGTAAGATCAGAAGTTGGTTGACGTCTCTTCTGATTCAGTAGCTTTCAGTACCTACACCAAGCATGGCACTGATCCATAAGTGGGATCTAGGGTCCCTAAAATCAAAAGACCACGTGTCAACAGGAACCTGTGGCTTCTACATAGCTAAAATGCTAAGGACACACTAAAGACTCAATCTTCCAGAACCTTGGTATACAGAAGATAGCTTGAAAAGTGGTTGACCTGTAGATGGCCTTGGAGTTAAGTCTTTTTAAGTCTTTTCCCAGGTGAGAATAAAGGTGTTCCTTGGGAGGCTTTGGATGGGGCTTGTGGGCTCCCACCATTCATCCTAAAAGAGCCCTCAGTCCCATCTTTGATGTGGAGTGCCAAGCTCCTGCTCCAAGGTTGCTCTCAATGCCTGCCATGCCCATCCCAAAATGCATAAAGCAGGGTTAACACATCCTGGGTACACAGACCACAGCTTCCTCCAGGGCTCAGGCCTGTGCTTAGAGGTCTGAACACTGCACAGATATATTGCTTCACTTCTTCTCAGAGTGTCCACATCAAGGCTCTGGAGCCATATCACCACCCTTCTGGATCTGAGGGGAGTCCTGGGGGGCGAGTAGAATGCGCTCTGAGTGGGGGTGTCAAGATCTTAGGAGGAGCTTCTGGTTCCTGAACCTGGGGGTGCAGGCACTTGCATGAACACCCCAATGGGAAGCAGAGAAACAGGGCCCGGTGACCTCCACTCTCAGGTCTCTAGGGCAGTCCCCTCACCCACCCAAGTCAAGTCTGATAAACCTGTGGCTATTAGATTGACTTAAAACCCCCGCTGTTATCTCATCTGTTCTCAAGTTCCTTCAGTTGGTGCCCTTTACCTAAGTCAGCATGTGTGTGTGTGTGAGAGAGAGAGAGACTTAGAAAATAAAAACACTATGACCCCACCCAGAAGATAAAAATCTGTTCAATTCTCTAGGGCCAACACCTTAATCTTCTCCCAGTCAAGCCATGAGTAGGAAGTCGATTCCTCTGTGTTCTGGGGAATGGCGGGCTCTGCCAGTCCCCACCTCACCAACCTGATAGTTTTTCCAGACCAGCTCCTGCTTGGTGTGCAGCCTTGAAGCTAACGTCTGGTCTCATTCATTCTTCTAAGTCCTCTAAGGTTAGTTACGTTAGGGGGTGTCCCTCCTCTCTGCTCAGGGCCCTACTTCCCCCTTTCAGAGGGAGCAGTCAGCCTTTCTGAAGCGTGACAGGGAACCCAGACTCACGGGTCTTCAGGGCTGCACTTTGCAAACCTAGACCCAGGCGGGGCGGCGCGGATTGGAGGTGGAATCGGCAAGACAGCCCCAGGCCGTGGGCTCAGAACCAGCCACCGCAGGCGGGCGGCTGCGAAGGAGTTTAATTCTTACTGAGGGGACAGCTCCTGGAACCCTTGCTCTGAGGCTGGCTCGCTCACTGAGTATGAGATCTGGGGCGCAGAGGAGCCACCAGGCTAGGAAGAGCAGCAAGGCGGGCCCTTCTTGGTTGCGAGCAGCCGAGCAGCCGGGAGTCGGCAGATCGCCGGGCTGCAGCAGTACTAGGGGGAAGAGAAACCAGCCTAGCTGACATGTAAACAGGGGCTTCCATTCGGACCCGGCGGCGGGCTCAGCCCGATCCTCACACACACTCCCTTGCACCCCTCCCCGCCCGCAGCTGAGCCTCTAACTTGCCCCAGTGACCGGGGGGGGTGGGGGGGGGCACGACCCCCTCACACGCCGCCCTCGCTGGTGCTGCGCTCTGCGTCCCTCTCTCTCCCCTCTCTCTCTCTCTCTCTCTCTGCCCCTGGCGAGAGGAAACTGACGGCTAGACGAGTGCCCCACGCCGCAGGGGCAAGTGGCCTGGGTGCCGGGTGGGAGCCGACCGGGCGATCTCCTGCCCCAGACTCCGGTCCGCGCCCCGGGTCCCCGGGTTTCGGCTGCCGGATCTGGCCAGCCGGCGGGCGGCGCACTGGAAGCCTGGCGGACTCCACTGTGGCACACGGGTTGAGGGGGTAGATGGCCCCGGGCGGGGAGGCTGGCCGGCCTCCTCGGAAACGGGGGGACTCGGCACCGGGAGGAGACGGCGCGAAGCCGGGGCGCGGAAGGAAGGGAGAGCGGCCACGTCTTCCGGGACCCCGGCGCCCAGCCCTCCCGCCACCCCGCTCGGCCCGCGCCCCGCGCGCCCACTGCCCGGCTGCTTACCTTAATAGTCCCGTCCATTTGGCCAAGTCTGCAGCCGAGCCCCCCAATATTCCACACATTGACCCGGTTACAGCCTGACCTCGCAGCCCCTTCAGATTAGCCCGGCGCGGCCTCTCTGGCGCCCTGGGCCCTCTCTGAGTGCCCCCTGCGAGCGCCCTGCCCTCGCTCCCCTGTGCACGTTTGTTGTTGTAGCGGATCGAAAAAGAGACAGTTAACCGGATGAAACTTTTTTTCAGCTAATTTTGGGAAGTGACTTCACTTTGCGATCGGGGAGGAAGTCCTATCTCTCTCTCTCTCTCTCTCTCTCTCTCTCTCTCTCTCTCTCGTCTCGCCCTCTCCTCTCTCTTCTCTGCTCTCTCTTGTCTTCCCTCCCCCACACCCCCTCTTCCTCTCCTCGCCTAGCCCTGCTTTTCGCATCACTCGCTATATAAATATACGCGAGATGCCCAGATACATTCATGCACTGCGCACACAGGATACTTGCTCCTGGGAGATAAGAGCCGGCCAGGAACAATGACGGGGTCCACGCCCAGTGTCAGCGCCCTGATTCCTGCAGTCTGCAACTCCCCCATCACCTTCCCCCCAAACCCAAAGCCAAACGCCTCTGGCCTCTTTCCTTTCCCTTGTGCCTTTGGCCGAAGGTGGCCCTCCTGACTCATTCACTTTCCGTTTCTTCCCACAGATACATTCATTAATGCTTTTTCCAGCCGGAGTCAAACTTTTTTTGGGGATGGGAGGAAGAAGGCGGGAGAGTTTGCAAGGACAGGGGATAATCTAGGTCCTACTGCCAAAGGAGATTCGGACGCTGATCAAGGCAAACCGACCATTTTTTTTTTAAAGGAGAAAGAAAGAAAGAAAAAAGAAAGAAAGAAAGAAAGAAAGAAAGAAAGAAAGGAAGGAAGGAAGGAAGGAAGGAAGGAAGGAAGGAAGGAAGGAAGGAAGGAAGAAAGGAAGAAAGGAAGAAAGGAAGAAAGGAAGAAAGGAAGAAAAGGAAAGAAAGAACCCGCATCGGAGCGCTGGACTCCGGAGCAGCTCAAGGCGAATTCTGGGTCTGGCGGACCTGAGCTGTCAAGGGTGTGACTCGACTCAACAAACATTGTTAGGACGGAGGCGCCGGTGCACTGCAGTGCCTCAACTCCGGGTTCCCCTAGCCTGCGGAGGAGGTGGACCCGCCGCTTCCCAGGCCACTTATCCACGCCTTCTTGGGTTAGAGCCTCTCGCTTAACCGGACCCGACGGCCCAAGCCTCGGTCCTGCCGGTCAATGCCATGGCAGCTCCCAAGGAACTGACGCTGGGGCCAGCGTTCCCTCCACGCCACCGAGCGGGACCCGGGAGCGCGACCTGCCGCGGCTCAGCACGGCCCCAGCGTTCTCGGAGGAGACCTGGCGGACGGAGGCGGCTCTAAGCTGGGGACTGTCATCCCCACCCAGCGGCGCGGCCGGCGTCAACCGCCGGGCTCTCTCTGAGGTCTCCCGCCTCCCCCGCAGCACCCGGGAGCGCGTTAGTCAAGGCTGCCCCGGGGGTACCGGCGCTCGCGCGCGGCCTGACTCCCATCTCCCCGACTTCCAAAACAGGTTACCTTATCCACGCTCTTCAGACCACGCTGTGGACTTTCTCACTTTTATTTAAGAGTCCTCCGGGAAAAGAGGGGGGAAAAAATCCAGGGCAAACCCAAAAAAATTAAAAAAAAAAAAAAAAATTCAAAAGGGTGTCCACGGCGAAAAAAAAAAAAAAAGGTGACTTATTAATTCTTTATTTCTTCAGGAGCAATTGCGCTCGCTCGCCTCCCTCCCTCCCGCCCCCCCCCCCCCCCATCCAAATTAGTCTCATCAATTCAATTCCAATTTGGGGTTCGAATACAGACACGGGTCTGAACGTGACCAGACCTGGAGTGGCGGTGCAGCCTGCCAGCAATTGAGACTCGGTTTACTGTGGGGGGTGGGGTGAGGGCCGGGCCCACTCCCCCTCCTCCTGTCTGCTTCTCAATCCAGGGGTCTGCTCCGTGGCTCCCCTGGGACAGCCACATCTGGTTACCGCTAGCGGGGTCAGTCCCCCCCCTTTGCCTGGGGCCACCAGTTCTGGAGTTCAATTAAAAGAAATCAGGCTTAACCCCTTCCTGCCCGCAGCAAGGCTGCCCGCCTTCTTGCTCTTCCCGTCGGCGTTTCCACATGCTTTCCAGAGAGGAAAGAGGTTAAAGGGAAAGGAAGAATGAATTACATCCTTTCAAACCCCAAATTGTTTCCTTTTCAGCCCAGACTCTACAGACGCTCAAACGACAACGTAGCGTTCAGGAGGGTGCATCCAAGCCACACCGCGCCTCATGTTGCCCCAAAGGACGGTTTACTCCTCCACGCCGAGGTCCCCCTTCCAGGCACTGGACAGTCACAGCGGACACTAATAGCCAACCCACGTGGAGTCGCAAACCCCACCCCATCCCCCACCCCGTTAGAAAGCGCCGAGGAGCAGACCATCACCAGGTTTTTCTTTTCAGGTTCTGTTGATTTGGCAAATGACAGTAATCGTCCTTGCTCTGTCGGGCAGTCACTAGAATAACCCCTAACTTCACTGAGCCCAATCCCTTTCCTCACCCAGGTGCTGTTAACAAGAATCCAGATCGAAATGAAGACTTGAACTCCCATCTCAGATGAGGAACCGAAGAATACTTTTTGCCTCGGCCTGCAAAACTGACTTCCTAAACTGCAAGAACTGACTGAAGCCATTTTACAATGTTGGGGGGGGGGTTAGAATAGGTACCCCTGTGTACAGACAGACACGGGAATTATTTCAGTCCTCTGCTGTTTACCACCAACCCTTCTGCCAGAAACTACTGTCCATTCACAGGGGTCTCGACCCAAAATAAGGAGCAGCCCCCCACCCCAATTTTGAGCAGATCTGGGATAGAATGTCAGATTCCTTCTCTCCCCGTGTTGTTGCGCTGGTGGGCAAGTTGGCCCACTTATGTAACTCTGGGTACGGTGCTCCGCTATCCTCCTGGCTCTCTTTTAAATCCTGAAGGGGGGAAAAAGCCCTAACCAAACACAACAGTAAACAAGTCTGCCCTGTTTAATGTGGTTGCCACCAGACATCTGGAAAGATGGTTTGATCCTGGCAGCTCACATTGTTTTCATGAGCAGCCAAAGAGAATATTTTGAATGTTTGCATTGAGACAAATTGATAGAGAGCCTGCGGTGAGGCCTGCTGCAAATGAAAACTGTCTTGTGCTGAGAGAGGGCAGGTCCCTCCCCTTCTCTCACTTCTCACTCTCCTTCCCTTTCCTCGCCCTCTTCCTACCCCCACCCTTTTCTGGCTCTCTCCGGCTCTCCTCTTCCCTGTCTACCAGTCTAGCTCAGGAATGGCAGCCACTGCCCACACACTGGCACTCCTGCGGGCTTCACTCTTTCCCAGCCTGAGCAGGGCTGGGGGGCTAGGAGCTCCTACCGGTACCGTCGCTTCAGTTCCTCCATCCCAGCCTCGACTTGCAAGTCAGGGGAAGCTCACAGCCAAAGAAGCCAGGCTAAACAGTTTTTAAGCCACCGACTGGGAAAAAAAAATTCTAACAACAAAACGTCTTGGCGCGCATTTCTAAGTTGTATAGAAGACGATCGAGCACACGTGGGTGAATATTTAGGAAGCATTTGAATTTGGAGAATTCTCATTAAAGCATTGATCAGGAGACTTGCTTTGCATCATACACACTTGACAATTTCAAAGATGCGGAAGTCTTGCTTCCCTAGGGAGGGGAATGGCCGACAAAACGTGTCTTGGCTCGCTCAATGTCAGCCCTTTTGACCGGGTCAAGACTTCCCAGACGCAAGCTTCCTGGGCTCTTTTAGTCCCGGCTTGGGGTGGCAGTGGGAGGACGGGACAATCGGAGCCTCCGGACCGGTGACAGCTGGGTCGTTCGAAAGGTCCTAAAGATGCCCAGGTCTGGCAGAATCTCCGGCCGAGCCTTTTCGCCCTGCGTCCCCCCCCCCCCGCCCCCCGACAGTTCAGAGGGTATCTCGCTGGCCAAAGCGGGAGGGGAAGGGGTGGAGGAGGGGATAGGGGATAGGGGAATAGGCAGGCGAGCGCCAAAACTCCAGACTGCACAACTGCAGCTTCAAGTGTCTGGCCTCTCGCTCGAGGCCATAATTAATTTGAGATTTATTTTTATTGGAGAACTCGAGTCTCGTCTGACCTTAGCCAAACAAGGCAGCTAGAGCCGCCCCCGGATGCGCTTGAATGCTGGGGAATATTTCTGCAGGAGGGCTCTGCAGGAGCGCCTGCTTTGAATTTGTTTCTCAGACTTCATCCACTCAAAGATTGAAGGAAGATTTAGAGCCTCTGCTCGCCCTGCCGGCTCCCCACGCTCCTTCTTGCCTTAGCGCCAACCCGGTTCAAAACGCTACGTGGGAGGCCGCAGCGCCTGCAGAGCGGCGCGCGGGGGGTTGGGGGGGGAGCAGGCCGGGAGGGTCTCGGAGACCCGAGCCCCAGGCAATTGGAAGCTGAACCCCCAGACCACTCGGCGTCTTCGAGGAAACCCCAAGGGAGTCGGAAGCTGACCAGAGAGCGCAGGCTGACAGGAGGTGGAGACCAGCCGGGTGTTGCGACCCTCATTCAGTGGCGGCGCCGCGATGGGGACTGTGGAGGTCGCCGGTGGGTTCAGCTTCTGGAATCCCAGCCAACCCGACCTCCCAGTAGCCCCAGACAATATCCACTCCAAATACAGACCACTGTCCTTGAAGCACAGCTTCAGGACCTGCGGTGCCAGATACTTAGGGGCAAGCGTCGAGACCCAGCAGCCTCCCTTTGTCTGAGCCAAGTGGGGAAGATGATGTCTCCCCTAAAAAGCAGCTTGGGCCGAATCCTCAGGCTGGTAGCCTGGAGAGCAGAGGGAAACAGCAGAGAGCAGATAGAGAAGAATCCTGTCAGGTTTGTGTAGGTGTTTGTGGATCGGATCTCAAGGAAGTACCCTGTCCCTACTTGGAATATACTAACGCTGGGTCTTCTGGTCTCCTCACCCTCCTCCCAAGCTAGATGCCAAGTTCAGGCTGGACAGCTGGACTCCCCTGGATTCTTAACTTCTTTGAGTCAGTGCTCTGCTCTGTACAATGACCTTAGAATAGGACCCATCTCAAAGGGCTGCACTGAACATGAGTGTTAGGACTTGCTTGGCAGTCACTACATGTCCTTAGCGTTTTGTACTTGCCTCTTACAAACTCTGCCACATTAATCTCTCAGTGCAAACTAGACTGCCCCTGGGTCACTATTACCAGCACAGTACAAATGCAATGCTTAGAACAG